CGCTTTTAAAAAGTTTGCAAATATTCAATAAATGCGTTATTTTGAATATTTGATAGAATATAAATGATGTACTATCACTTGATGCATCTGTTATTGCAATGAGTCAGAAGAGTTTGAAATTAATGCATAACATTAATATTATAAGCTTAGCACTGATGTTCTAATGAAAATCTTGGAGTCAAAGGGAATTTAGAATTTTTGCATGATAAGGAATTATGTTTTTATTATTTATGATAAAAATACTTCAAGGATTATCATGTATCTATTAATATATTAATGAAACATTAAAAATAATAATTGCTGTTCTTATTCAAACAAAACAATTGATTTATTTAATGTAATTATTTCGTTAATTTTTCTAGCAGGATTTTTTACGTTTTTAATTCTATTTTAATTAAATAAATTCAAAAATATTTTGGTATTTAAATATGAAAATAAATAAATAAAGTAACGGTTGAAATTTCAGTAGAAATTGTTGAAATAATTTAGCCTTTTTATTGAAAGCACTGTATTTATAATATCCTAATTTATATCCTTATTTGAAGTGTTTAGGATGAAATGGTTTTTTTGTCGGCAAATGACTCGACCTGACATATTAAATAAAATTTAAATAAAAAGTCGTTTTTTCTTTATTTCTAAAGAAACTTAGTCCTCTACCTAATTTAATATACTTCACATGATGAAGGATACCTCCTTGAAGTCCGGAGATGTGATATTAAAGAGCTGGAGATGAAGTAAAAGAAGCTGAAGTGTATTGTTCCAGACGTAGACAATGTTAGTTTGATGAAGCTAGCTGGGGATCGGTTGGTTAGAACAAGACAAATCTACTAGTCTGGGAAGAGAAGCAGCTCATATAGAGAAGCAGAAGCAAAAACTGAAGAGATGATTCTTGGAAATCCGAAAAGCGAAACACGAGACATTTGCGCGGCAGTCTTGTGTGACACTGGAGAGTATAGTTCGTATATTTCACGGCGGCTAAAATTTGTTTTCTCCCTCATATCAAGAAAACCCCCTTGTTACCCTCACTGACATCCATCTTCTACTTCACCTCACTCAAATTCTCTCCATGCTACATATTTCAGCATCATAAAACACACATTATTGACCCTTATAATATTTCAGTCATACACTCAATGTCTCTCTCTCACAGTATCACGATTAATGTCCTTCTGCCTAGGTATTGTTGTGGAACACAGGATCAATTTTCAAGTGCTGTGATCACTTAGTCTGGCTCAATAACCTACTTGACGTCATTTTTAATTTTTAACATTTTCATTCATTGTGCTAATATTTTTATCAAATTATCTTACTCTCTGTCGCTTCTTTTAAAACGTCTTTCTGGTAAAGAAGTATTTGAAACCTTTCATTTTTTTATATCACTAAGCTATACATGGTTCAATGTAATTGATCAATTATAATTGAGATTTAATTAAATTTTTTTTAAAATTAAGAATTTGTAAACAAGTAATTATTTGATCTTTTTTTTATTTTTTTTTACCCTAAAATAAATTTGCCAAGAAAATGATTATGTTCAAGGAAAGTTCTATCTTAAAAACATGCTTTTAAAAATATTTTAGAATTTTTTTCTGTCATAAATATGTCATATAAACAATGTTAGGAATCTTCTTTAATTTATAATTTACTACATCGTTAATAACATTCCTGAAAGTTTCAAATAAGGGCTGGATATTTTTTCCTCTACACAACTTCAAATAAAATCCATAAAGTATCATGAAGTGTCTCCACTTCTTCGATACCAAAATAAATACACCAAGAAAAAAAAACAAACAAACAAGTAAATTTTTTTAAAAAGTTCAACTTCAATGGTGTAATAAACAACGAGAAAACTACACAAAAGAGTGTCGGCGGTTGTTGAAAGGTATGACTTGAGCGTAAAAAGTTAGAAGACGAATTCCATTTTTTATTGAAAGTCATAGTTGAAGTTAAAGTTAATTAATTTCAAACAAATGTGTAATTCGAATAATGCTGTCATATTCCGGTTAAGAGTTAACGAATCTTTCGGTCAGAATGACGATCAGTCAGTGTGTAAAGTACTTGGCATTGCAATTACGATATTAAGTGCCGATGCCGAGTTATTTGTAAAGAGAGAAAGAGAATGAAGCAAAACCATTTGAGCTACAGAAGGGATGAATACCACGAAGTCACTATGAATGCTATAACTCTGCTTTTTCTTTACCATCATCTTACATATATATGTATATATATATATGTACATAATATATATATATATGCTTCTTTTTCATCACTCTGTTCCTCTTTGATATACTCAAACTCGTGGTAATACCGTGGTAGGAGTTACCAATACTTCCGTGCAGTTATTTCAACTGCATTCCATCAGTTTCTTCATCAACTTAGAGTTTGGAAATTTTGATCACTCTTGATTCCATTGTTTTCAAGAAAGTTATCTAAATAATAAAAAAAGCACATTTTAAGATAACTGTAATTAGAGTAAATCTATTAAATCAGATCAGATAATAAAGATTTTGGTAAATGAATTCTAGCATTGATAATTAGAAATAAACATTGATAACATTCAGAAAAAGTTGAAAGAATTTGTATAGAAATATTGACAAGTATAATTATCGAATAAATAACTTATAGAAAATATTTATCAATCTCAACTCAATAATAAACGATAATTTTTCCTAGTAGGTTTGAATCATTTGATTAGTCATCCAATGATTTGTGCAACTAAACTGGAATATAAAAGGTTGTGAAATAATGATGAAAGAGTAGAAAAACGTGCTCAGTAGTAATTCTATCAGTAAAACAATTACGCATATGTCATATCACAAAAAATATTTAAATTATCGTTTGTGCGTGAGTATTCTCGGACTTTTAAATACCTATGAGCTATTAGTAGGGTGTAAGATTACTCTATGAAACGATAAGCAAGTTGTACTGCTATGGTGTATTGATAATAATATAGTGGTCATAGTTGATTGTTCTTCGACGTGTATCTTTTGTAGAAAAAAAATAAAAATGGAATAATATCGAATAACAAGCTATTGGAGGAATAATTCAGGTCACACATGACTGCGGCAATATGATTCTAGTTACACCCGGAAACATTAAGCTTATTTTGTCCGGTCAGTAAACAATACGGAAACACTTCATCAGGCTTTATTGCGTCTGCATTTAGATTACTTGTAATCTCAGTGGCGCCTTACTATCCCTTTCAATTGATTTTATATCATTCTCACTAAAATATGAAGAAAAACAGTGTTGTCTGCAGTAGAATGTTTCAATTAATTCATTTATTATCTCAAACTAAATTCAAAGTGAAGTAGACATGATAATTTCAATGCTAGTATGTTGCAAAGTTAGTACTTGATAAATTAGAAACATTTGTCAAATGTCTATTGTCTAATCGTATTGGATTTATCATGAGCATGAGTATTAATGTTTTGTATTCATTTTCTGATAATGTGAACAGTTGTAGACATTTTGAAAAAAGTATTTCATTTTAAAATGGTTATTTTTATTTAAAAAAATAGAAGATTTATTTTTTTCATTTAATAATAAACATTTAGGATAGATACGAAATATTAATCAATGAAATTATCATTAATAATTTTATCTTTGAAAAAAAAAAGAATAGTTTACATAAAAAAGACTTATTTAGAAGTTTTATTTATGATTATAAATATTAAGTTTTAAAAAAAGATTATTTAGATAATTTTAGTTTAATTATTTTTAGAAAATTACTGATACATGAATCATTGAATTGTTGATGTATCAATGATTGATACCTATTTTATCTGTTTGATCTAAGTAGCTCTTACATGACAAGTGTTGATAAATATTAACTTCTTCCATCAAGATAAGGGTAGTTTAGGTAACTTTATAAAATGTTATCTATACATGATCTATTTTGCTACAGATTATCAATAATTCAAGTGCTGCTTTAAATAATATTTAGAATTTTTTACAATTTTTTTTAATAATTAAAAATCTATTAAAAATAAAATCAATTTAAAAATAAAATCCCTATTACTTTTTTAAATGTTTTTTTTTTTAATTTAGACTGACCAACCTAAAATACTAATAGGATTCAATAATTAATGACATTTAAATGGAATGTAATACGAATGATGAAAAAAATCTAAAAACTCATTAGTCGGTGGGTAAGTCTCGAATGTTTTGCCATTTATCTCTAGGTGTAATCCTTTAATTATAATGATCCGCAGAGTTTTAAAAAAATTCCATCACGAAGTTTTCGCTGGATCATTTTATATCTTGGGTTGATCAATATCTTGAGTAACGCCTTTGATTCTCCGTCATATCGATCAATTGTTAAACGAGCGTATAGGAGTGGTATAGTCAAGTATCGAATTCGTGATGATCTGAAGTGTAAGTAGGGAGAGAGGAGTGAATCTTTTCATCGGTCGACGTTTACGAAGTAAGAGAGTCTGCAATTTTCACTGTCCAAACTGGTTCCTAGGAGTTTCGAACAAATGCCGACGGCGCTAATAATAATGAGCCAAAACCTCTAAACTACCTTCGTAATCCCCTTCCAACATCGGCAAACTTCTTTGCCTTCGTGATTTGTCTTTTTTCAGGGTGCGAATTCTTCCCAACAACAGCTAACAATTATGATAACTTCTGGTATACTAAATAGCTGGTATTTTACATCTCATTCTACCTTCATCATCTTATACAAAACTTATTTCATCCTCTCTCTCATTTCCTCTATTCAATTTCCCAAATTGGATAGGAAGACATTTTAATTTCTTAAATTAACCAATTACTCGTCATTGTTCAGTTATTTTACAAATTAAATCAATTAATCTATTTTCTAAATCATTGTTAGTTCGTAGAAGATCATTAAAAAATTCATTTAACGATGTTTAATGATGTAGAAATAATGTCGGAAGAGTTTTGCAATTTAAATTTCATTAGTGCTGCCACGACGATATTTTTATGAACTTTACTGTCGCGATTTAACTGCCTCTCTCGGCAGTTTGATGAAGCTTAGCTGTTTTCTAACCTGTCAGCAAGTTACGCTTTTCATTACAGTGTCAAAATCAATTGTTGTATTTTTTTTATAAATTTAATAACAGTAGTTATTATTGTTGATACTTTTAATATTTAATTTTAAAAAAAAAACTTGAAAAATGTCTGAACGAAAAGTATTGAACGTAAGTAATATTTCGAAATCCATAAACATATATTCTAATGGAAATTATGTCAAACGTACTAATTTCGCATTATTTCAATAATGGAAAAAAAATTAATTGAAAATTATTTTTTAGAAATACTATCCACCTGATTTCGATCCTTCAAAAATCCCTCGTATGAAATTGGCTCGAAATCGCCAATATACTGTTCGGTTAATGGCACCTTTCAACATGAGATGCAAGACGTGTGGAGAATATATTTATAAAGGAAAAAAGTTTAACGCAAGAAAAGAAGACGTCGAGGGAGATGATTATCTAGGAATAAGAATTTATCGATTTTATATAAAATGCACGAGATGTTTACAGGAAATATCTTTTAAAACTGATCCTCAAAATACTGATTACGAGATTGAAGCAGGAGCCACGAGAAATTTTATGGCTTTGAAACTTGCTGAGGAGCAAGCCCAAAGAGAAGAAGATGAAAAGCTTGAAGAAGAAGCAACCAATCCAATGAAGTTATTGGAAAAAAGAACACAGCAATCAAAACAAGAATTAGAATTATTAGAATCTTTAGAAGAGTTAAAAGATTTAAACAGGCGACAACAAACGATTGATTATGATCAAATGTTGGAACAATATGACACTCAGGCTGCTAAACAAAGAACCTTGAAAGAACAGGAAGAATTAGATGAACAATATGTGAAATCTATTTTCAAAAAAAGACAATTGAAGGGAACAGTTGTTGAAGAGGAGGTTGTAGTACTACCTGAGGAATGTGAAAAGCCTCCTGAGAAACTTAGAAAAGTAGAAGATAATTCCGATTATGTTGAAAGTACAGAAACTACACAATCAGTAAGACATGATTTCTAATTACATATATTTTTTCTCAAAACAATTTTATGCATAATTATTTTTAAAGTATTGATTTAATTTTTACAAGAACTTAAAAAAATTTTTTTTTAATTATGATACGCTTGTCACATATTTCAATGATAATATTATTATTAATACTAAATTTTTTATTATTATGCTTTCAGAAGCCTTCATCATGGTCACAATCATGGTCAACTTCAACCACATCAAGCTTATTAAAAAAGAAATCAACATTTGGAGTTAAAATTTCAGTAGGAACTTCTAACGAAAAATTATCAGAAACAACGACTTCGAATTCAACAGAATTAAATAAATCTGACAGCAAAAATTTAGATAATAAAGAATCAAGCGTTGAATCTACAAATGAACCAGAAGAACCAGTTAAAAGTGAAAAAAGTGAACAACAAAGTGGTTTATCTTTATTGGGTGCTTATTCGAGTAGCAGTAGTGATGAAGAAGGTTAATGATGATTATTGATAGATGAATTAGATTACAAAGTAAATAAATTTATATCATGCATTTGTATTTTGAATATAATTCTTGACAGTTTAATTCAGTGAGAATAGTTATAAAATACAATGATTGTAAATATTAATATAACTCAAAAAGAATCGAAGCATTTTAATATAAATATCAAAGTGTTCAAAGACCAAAAATTTTTGTTCATATTTTCTAGAATGATAAGAACATTCCTGGATAACTCTCAGTACAATCCTTGTAGAACGAAGAGTCCTTTTTTCCTAGAAAAAAAAATTACAATAACGATAAAAGATTAATGACTATTGAAATTTTTTTTTATTTTCGATTTGTTTTAATAACTAAACATCTTTAGAAATACTCTAATCTAATTGTTTCAATATTTAAAACGAAATCAATGTAGCAGAAAATTTTAAGTTTTTCTAATTAAGATAATAGCAAAAAAATATCAATTACTACTGGTAAATTTTTTAATTGAGTCTTATAAAAGTTTATAAATTTTTAATTGATTTAATTTTCAGGTAAAGTAGAGTGTTTAAGTTAAATTGAGAGAGAAATTTTTTATCATTTTTTATTAAATCGTAAGTAAACAAAATATTTCAGAATTGATTTTTCGAAATTTTAATGTAAATTATACCCTTAATAAATTTACAGATAATAATTATTGTACTTATAAATTCAATCAAGCGGGAAGTGGTAAAAGCTTTTGATGTTTCATTATTGTAAGTAATATGAATTCAAATTTCATTACATAATCAATTTTCAACCCAAGTTAATTTATCAATCAAAAAAAGTGTGAAGTTTTTTTAATAATTAAAAAGCATATTATTCAAAATTAAATGAATAATAATTAATTAAAGTAAATTAAAACTTCCTAAGGTGAAGGAAATGAATCTTTATAAAACGTTTTATTATTATGTTTCATTTTCTTCGAGGAATGACTCCAACATTGCGAAGATTTATATTTAAAGTTGGAATTTAAACTTTCAATCTCCCTGCCACATTGATCAACTATTTGATAAGCGTAAGAATCAACATCAATAACATGTCGTGGATTTACGACTGAGTTATGACTGCTATCGCAACGAGAGGTATGAGAATGTCGATTCATTTCTTTAGATTCAATCAACCATTTGTAGAACCCTTCGATATAACGAGATTTATTTTTATATTTTTTATATTTCTTTTCTAACTCTAGAGACTTTGCCATTTCATCTTTCACTAATTTAATATTATAATTATATAATGATTCATAGAGAGATGAAGGCACTGTTGTAAATGTTTTGGAATTTTGTTTTTTTAACGAATGAGTTTGTTTAGAAGGCGAGTCTGCATGTCGCGGTAATTCACATTCCTCGGTTGACGAGTTTGAACGATCCAAGACATACCGATAATCTTTATTGTTTTTTGCTTCTAACGTTAATTCCAATTGTGCAATTCGTTTCTCTAAACGTGTCCTTTGTTCCTGCGAACGTCCCTCTTGATCTTCCATTTGCTTAACTAATTTTTCTAAATGAGTAAGTTGGATCTCTTTTTCCTCGAGTTTCACTGTCAGTATTTTAATTGTTTCTGACTTAGCAGCTATTTCCTTAGTCAACTAAAAAATCAATTAATTTTAATAAAAAAAAACTATTAATTCAATTGCTAAAAAAAAAAATACAAACCTCCTGAACATTGGCATTGGATTTAAAATTGGAGTGGTTTGCTGATTTGGTTAAATAGCTAATTAATTCATCTTGAACTTGGATTCTTTGATGTTGCTCTCGTAGAGTCTGCTCTTGAAGCTGTAGTTTATTTTTTACAGCATTCAAATCGGTTTCTAATTCCATATTTTTTCGTTGAAAGAGAGCTATTTCCTGCTCATAGTCACCATTTAGTTTAATAAATTCCGTAGAACTAAATAATTGTACTTTCTGAGAATTTTGAATGTTTAACTCCATAATTTGATCTTCTAAATCCTTGAATTTCTTTTCCCTAGAATGATAAATTTTAGAAATAACCATTCGGTTAAATGACTATTATTGAAATTATAATTAGTCACATGAAACCAAAAAATTCATTTAAATAATTTTAATTTCTTTTACAGTAACGAAGTTGAAAAAATTTGTTACAACTTTGAATGTTAATTAAATTAATTACATGAATTCATGTTCATTTTGAAGTCGACCATAATCTTCTGTTAATTTTATGACTAAATCTTTTTCTTTTTGTAATTTATTTTTTAAATCTTCTTCTACAGATAATTTTTCTTCCTTGAGTTTTGCAATTAAATTTTGATGTTTGACTAATTCTTGATTTATAACATTAACTTCTTTTTCTATATCATTATTCTTTATTTTATCCAAATTCTCTTTCATCTCCACTAGCCTAGAAAAAAAATTTCTTTATTTTTAACTTCAATGACAGTTAAATTAACAACTCAACCTTGATTCAAGATTGTTTCGTTGACTTTCTAAGCTGATTATCATTTCTTCGGAATTTTTCAAACTTTTATGTAAGTCTCTTGTTTCTCGCTCAAAGTTTATGTCATTTTGCTTTAGTTGTGATTCTAAACTTTTGATATATTCTTGATATTTATACATTTCGTTGTGATTCGCCGCTATTGTTTCTTCTAACTTCTGAATTCTTGTGTTTGTTTTCTTTAGTTCATTATCTACTAAAGTTTTCTGTTCTTGAAGTTGATTGAATTTTTCCACTTCACTATTTAAGTTCATTCTTAAGTTATTCACCACTTCATCACTTATGGTTTCTAAATCTCGAATTCTTAATCGGGCCCCTTCTATTTCATCCCACATCAAAATTATTTTTCTAATTAAATTACCATTGGAATCATCTAAAATTTTTTTCGTGGCTTCTAGTCTCAATTTCATGTGTTCAATTACATTTTTAAATTGATCAACCTTTTCTATAATTTCAGGAGATTCACATTTATCTCGACAAAAGTTATTAGTCCACTCAACAAGTGCTGAGTATTTCTCAATCATCTCTTCACAAAGATTAACACATTCTTTAGGATATTCTCTGAGTTCATTCTCTAAAATCGATGCAAACTCTCTCGTGACAGAAGCATTAATAAAAGCACCATGTTCTCCACTCTCTTTACGAAGGTTTTCGTTTTCACGACATTTATTCGAATTATCTGGTATCAATTTAATTCCTTCTACTTTTCCGGGATCCTTCAAACCACTGGCAATTATTTTCTTCCGCAATTCAGATATTTCATCATATATATCTAATGCGTTTTTCTATAAAATTGAGTTCATCATTTAAATAGATTTTCTTTCTTTTTTTCTAATAAATTAATTTTTTACTTAAAAGAAATGCATTGAGTAGTTAGTAATGAATAATTCATGTTTTAGTAGTAAATATTATTCTATTACTATTAGTTTACTCTTGTTAATGAATGCAAACAAGCTATCTTACCTGCTTCTCTTCAATTTCATTTCGAATATTTAAATACCGATTTTTTTTATTCTTAAATTGGTTTTCCAAATGTCTCTGTACATTAGAAGGAAGAGGAGAAATTTTATTCTTCGACAAAGAAGAGTTACCATTTCGCGAAGGAAAACGTCGCAGAGGTTTTCCTTGAGAATTTAGAACTTTAATATTATGTGATGGAGTTGATGATAACTGTGGGTCCGTCTAAAATATGTGTTAATGTATTTTTAGATGTGATGATAGAAAAATAACAAAGAGTTTTTTTCTTTCATTAATGACCCTCACCATGAATGACCCTGGATTATTTTGGTTGACGATAGTTGGGATCTTGCTGCGAACTCCAGATGCAGATGCAGGTCTTCGAAGAGTAACTGATCTCGTCACTTTCGAAGCACAAGCATTTTCGTCATCGACCTTGTCTAAAGATAAATGTATTTTGACAGTTCAATGACATTTGTTTTTTATTACTTCTGACTAATTTTTGTATGAGTAGTTTTATTTACCATTTGATTTTTTTGTTTCCAGTCGAGTTGTAGACATAATTTATTTTCTGGTATTAACACTATTTGAAAATTTTGGTATTTCTTCAAAAAATTCTTCATATATTAGTAAAATATTCCCCTGATCTAAAATAACGAGTTTCATTGATCTGAAACTTGTTTCATATTACATAAAAGATCAACAATAATTGCTCATTTCATTCAATTACGATGAAAATTCCAATTTCAATTTTTTTCATTCTTCATCATTTGAAGTATTTATTAATTAAATTAAAAATAATTGCTAAATATTATTAATTGACAACATTCTCGAAAATTTCATGAAAATTTAATTTAACATTTTAAAAAAAGTTGTAAAAAACTTTTAATTAATCTCTTCATTAGTAAATGAAATATACTAATATTTGAATGTTTTTTTTTTACTCTTTTTAATTAATTAATTTAGAATCAAAAATTAATTCAGAATTCATTATCGTAATAACCAAACATTTCAACAGAATTTTTTATTCAATTAATTCTCCATTGAGTATAAATAATTATTTGATTTATTATAAAACCACAAGTAAAACAAGCTCTGAAAAAGAATATTTTTCAAATTTACCATAAATCAGTTCTGTTACATTTAACTAATTAATTAATAACTCCAATTGCATTTTTTATTAATTGAAAACAAATTAATAAAAAATATAAACCAATTGAAATATTTTTAAAGATAATTTATAACGCTAAAAAGCCCAAACATAATTTCATCATGAAGAATAACATGTTTTTAAAAATTACACGTGGTCTGTTTAATCGTTGTAATATAATAAACAAGAAAAATAGAAACGATCAAAAACAATTACCAAAAACTGTTGAGGCAGCAGCGCAATAACTCGTTCATAAATAAAACAATTCTGCTCTTGCACAAGGTTGAATTAATTAAATTCTCTTTCTCTCTCATATACACCAAGCTTTTAACTTTTTAAATCATCTCTGTATCTACGAAATAATATTTTAATGTCGTATTTAATATTCTTTCGTGTTTAATAACTCTGTAATCGTATTATAAAAGAATATTTTATTACTATTTAAATTATCTTCTTATTATTAATAATTGTCATATATTGTTATCAATATGTTATTGTCTTTTTCTGGTAATAAGAATAATAATTAATTGTCGTTATTTACAATTCTTAAATATTACACATAAATAAACGTGCGCAAGCTTTGCAACACTAGTAGTGACGGTCCTCTCGCGTCAGACCGAGCATTCAGACGCTCCGAGCTTTCAGTCGTTTAAGAACTTGCAAACGTATCAGACGTGCTTGTGCTAAAACTTATTGAGGTTCCATGTGCTTGATGACAATAAACATTTTAATATTTTTATACTATTTTTTTTAGTTTTTTATCTCAAGAATTCCATTATTTTAACTGTGAGTATTATTTAAACAATTCTATTCCGTCACTACTAATTAATTTTTATTTAATCTGAATAATAATTGTAACTAATTTATTGTAAACATAACAATACATTATAAATGTATTATAACTATAACAATTAGAGTAAAAAGAAAATGAATGATCAAATATCAGTAATAGCTAAAATAAGAAGAGTCGTAATAATTATTAAAAGAAAAGCTTTTTGGAAGATTATAATGATTATTCATTTGTTTTACTCAGAAGTTCAGGGTCGTTGTGATTCCTTAATTAAATTGCTTCTTCAAAGGTTTCGGAGTAGATGATAATGGGATTACTAATGACCTTTTCTTTGCCCAGTCAGATTTCTTATCAATGATGAGTAAGCAATGCTTTTTTTTTTGGCAAAGTATTACCTCACATGTTGGATTTTTAAAAAATTTAATTTTTTATTAGCTGAATGTATTGTTTCGAAAAAGCAATTAATGTTTGTGAACTATAGTAAATATTTTCAAACTTTTTCACCGAAATTCATTAAACTTCTAATAAAATCTCTGTGTTAATTTCCATCAAAGTTGATAAACTTTTTCGAGCTTGTGTCATAGATCCACGGTATAAATTCTATATCTCTTCGATTTCTCTTCAATCTTTTTTTTTACTCTTTTTGCCATGTTGATTCCAAGAAATCGTCCCATAAATTCTAAACTTTACTCCTTTATATTACTAGCTTTCCTCGAGTGTTTTTATGAGTTAAAATTGATCATAAATTATACATTATTGATGATTTTTTGCTCTCATAATTTTTGTGATATTATCCACAAAACTCATATAAATCTCAAGTACCCCATTAACTATGAAGGAAAAATTGTAATAAATTTTTAATACAATTCAATGTTTGACTATACTTTTTATTGAATTCTATTTGTCTCTTAGAATGTCACAGAATGTTGCACTTAGTGACAGCATTCTTACTTTTGTCTTTGAATATCTTTATATATGTGAAATAGTGCTTTTTACTTTTTTATTTCAAAACAAAATATTCTATATTGACATTTATTACATTTATTTATTTTTTCTTTACAGTGTTTATTTTAATATTTTTTTATTAAAAATCTAATTAGCTATTTTTTGTCCTCGTTTAAAGCTATAATAAAAGTAACAATAACAATGATAATAACAATTATTTTTAATGAAAAACTATTTTTATAGAGCTATTTTGATAAAAGTTATTGTCCTCCAGAGCTTATTCTTATTTTGGTTCCAAAAAATCTCAAGTCTTTCTTTATTCGTGTACTATCCATGCCTTGAGAAGATATTTCCAATCATCTTAGAGGATTGTCGATGTGCGAATGTTACCCAAAGGATTAAATGCTCCAATAGCTTTGCACTTACTTCGGATTTTGAAGCTCTAGATGTGAATATGATGTGAGCCACTGAGTCAATGACTGCATTGAAGCAATCTTTAATCTCCCTAATCCTCCCTTCAATACTTCATACGTTCAATAGATAGCTTTTTGATTCTAGAAACTATTTATGAACTGTCACAAACTCAGAATGAAACGCCAATGAAGGAAGTCAAACTGACGAATCAGTCTGAAAGTTTAGTAAAGTTATGGCAATCTTCAACAAAGTAAGTGTAACTGAAACGCTGTTGAAATGAATCAATAAATAGAATAAAATTTTCAAAAAGATCAATGATGCATGCTGAAAGTTTGGAATTCAATTTTACGAGAGTCTTAGAATTAAATTGTAGTTTGAATGGAGGCACATTGTTTAGACTTTAAAAGTCAAGAGGCTCGAGTCGAGTGGCATCTCGCCAAAGATTAAAGAGGTAGTAGTGTCGAGTCAAATGTCTTGTTGTATAGATATCAGCATTCCCAGCTATATATTTAGGTTTTCACAGGATATTGGCCTTTCCTACTCTTAGAACTCTATAGCACATCAATTTCCCAAATGGTCTAGTTATACAGCACTTAGTACAGAATAGTAATCTTCTGGTTTATTTCTTTCACTTAAATGTATTGAAAAAATAAATTTCCTTCACATTATTTAAGATTAAAGAAGCTTCAAGAAATTTCAAGCAAGCCTGGAACAAAAATTTCCCTTCCAAAACCTATGCTAATAAAATTATTTCGTCCGATGTGAAAGCCAATTTAATAGAGGTTCATGAAAAACATTCGCATGTTGAGTATTCTTCTTCAATACAATCAATTAGAGAACACTGGGGGAATATTGCCTAAAATTGAATGAGAGTCCTATCAATTATCTCCCAATTTAATTAAATTACCAGAACATAAAATTAAAAATACACTTTTAAAGCATCACTATTACCGTAATCGCTTTCAACCTATTATAGCTAGATTTTTCTCTTGTTCTTCATTAAAACTTTTAATGCAAAAGTTACTTCAGATTTATAGTTCATTATTACACAGTCCCTGATCAAGATAATGTAATCGGTACACTTTCTCAAACACTTTAAATCCATTTTCAAGTTAATACATCTTTCTATCATTTTATACTGAACCTTAAAAACAAGAACCTATCATTGTCCTTCTAACTTTCATGCAATTTACTTAATCCAGCCTTTTATCAATAATTGAAGTGGTGAATTAATTGTTTTTTGATTTATTTGTTACAGATGGATAATCATATGAATTTAATCTTTTTTCTTCTACTAATTGGAGTTATTGGACAATCTTCAGCAGCAAAATGTGATAGAAGAATGGACACATTTATTGAACCTACAGAGCTTGATGGAAGATTTTTTATCACTGTTTGGTCTGCCAATAAAACTGAAACAGTTGATATGTATATGCCAAATACTCGTTATATTGGTGAGTTAATCAGATTGGTTGACTTCCTGTAGAGGAAATTAATCTCCAATGACATAAACCTATGTATTATGTCATTTAACAGATCTATTCGTGCAAATTACGTTCCAATCAAATGTCATAAATCAATAGATATTTGATATTCTTCATTTCCCTTGACAAATCTACTAAATTGTTTGAAATGCGCTCTCGAAGCTTTTTGAGTATTTAGAAAATTGTGTTATTAAAACGTTATACAATAACCTAGTAAAACTGGCGATCAGAATATTCAAATAACAATTCAGGGATGCTCAATGTAGCATCGTCGATAGATTTCATGTAGAGCTTGTCGAGAAGGGTTTCATTGTTGACTCATGTAAATTACATGACCAATATTGAAAGCTATTGATGCATTAGTTAAAGAAAATATGAATATGAGAATAAAAAAGTAATTAGGATGAACATGATTTATTGATAGAGAATTTATGGAAAAATGTGATTGATTGAAATGATACATAAAACCATTTAAATCATAATGTAATGGAAGTATTTTTTATTTCAAATGTTTGAATGAGTATTTTGTTTCTAACAAAATGATTAAAAACTTTTTCTGCAATATGAACATAGAATTTAATGATTAAAGCTTCGAAAAAAAAAAAATGTTTAAATTGAAAAACAGAAAAATTTTATTTAGATTTAACTCTATTTTATTTCTTTCATCAAAACTCTATACATAACTTTGTCCTATAAAAGATTGTGAATATTCGATCAAAAATTTAAGTATATTTGCAATTATTTAATTTTATTATGAATCAATTTAATTCTATTTTTATATGGAATAGTTTTTAATTTCATTCATTTTACTTTATCTTAAGTGTTTTCGTCTATTAATCTAATTGAGCTTATCCACACTATTTTTAACACTTGCATCATAAAAAACAATTTTTTAAATTATTCTTTCTAACCTGTTCTCTATCAAGTATGTTACCTAAATTACGATCAAAACTTCAAAAGCTCTTAAAGCTATTTAACTAATCAATTACAACTGTATTTATTCTGTTAATTGTTCTATTGAGAAGAATCAGTAAGAGTTTACTTGAGAATTTAATTAAGTATTGATTGATTTTTTCTATCACTTCAATTAATTACTTGAAAAATACTTCTTTACATTTTTACAAAACCTTACTTCTTTCATTCTTTTATTATTTTTCTTTTGTATTGCGTAATTCTCATTCTTTTAGCTAAAATGAATTTCGACTTCCAATTTAAAAGAACGTCTGCAGCAGCAGATTAGTCCGGATATTGCGACAATCAGAACTTGAAAAGTCTTAGAAAGATCTGGAAAAAAAATATAAATTATAAGAATAATGTATTTGTATCCTTCCTGAGTCGTGATCGTTTATTACAAGTGAAATGTAATATGCGTTATGAAGGTTATTACTTTAAATGTGTTTTCATGACTAATCCATTTAATTCAGGGTTATGAGAACTGACGCATCCTCCACCAGGGTTTTACTGTGTCTGAACTATCATGAGCATAACTACTAGGATATATGCGAGCTCATGTGTCAGCTTTGACGTGAAAACAATTGAAATTTAGATTTAATCTTGATGCTCAACCCAATCAAACATCAACTCCAATACCACTAGAGATATTAAAAATATTATCCTTCAAATAAAATAAAGCTTTTTTGATCGCGTTATCAATAAATCCTTCAAGAGTTTCGTGATAAAAAAAGAAACAAGTAGTTGTTCGAGGAAGTTAACAAAATAAATAAAAGTTTATTTAGCTTTTGTTTGACACGTGGTTCTTACATTCCTTCATACCCACGTTTCAACCAGCTTGATTGCCTGGGAACGCGTCAGTTCGTCGACGCAAAAACGACATCATTGCTGAAAGGGGAAGCTGCGTGTAAAAAAAAATTTTTTACGAGTTTACCAAGTCACTATGGAAGACCTCCAACATACACAGGAAGCCATAGAGACGTAATTTACACTCTTAGATGTCCAGAAAGTTCTAGATGTTTCGGAGTATTAAAAGCTAAACACTTAAACTAGCCGTTAAATATCGCTTAAATACTTTTAAACGAGCTAAAAGTAATGATTTATTGGAGTTGTTGTTTATGAATGATTTATCGTAATTACTATAAAAAGTTTATAGAGTTTTTCAAAAGTTGTTGTATTCAAATTCATTTTTTTTATTTTTAAAATATGTATTTTTAAAGACTTGGAGGATTAGGATATTCCAAGTTCATTTATTAGATAAGAAAAAAGATGTGTTGAGCAGAGAGATTATGATTAATGATAAATACTATTTTTTAAGATAATTTGAACATTAATCAACTATTTTTATTACTACAAGAAATGATGAAAAAAGTACAATTGAAGAACCAGAAATGACTCTAGAATACGTCGCATCAATTCGATCTCCCATGATTTGTAGATTCAATTGAATTATCCGATATTTCTGGACCAAAAGGAAGAGAAAAAATTCCGACTTAGCTAGCGAATTTATCAAGTACTTCAGTCTACTAATTTTTCTTCATTCTTCAAGCCTTTTTATGGTTGTCAGACAACGTGATAATAGAGATCACGTTCAATCTCTCGTTTTATTTCAAGCAATCACTTATATGAATGTGACAAAATTTATGTTGGAAATCAGCGTCTCCGACATATTTGAGTGTATAGGGCCTGTACGAGTGTTCGGCCCTAATCGGTTTCCCCCGTAGCCTTTCGGCTAACGTCTCTCGTCGTGCTCTTCACTTGATTCAAGTTGGTCGTCTATTACGGTTCAATAATATATTCATTGATAAATAAAGTTCTAATTTCTAATTAAACTAAGTCTTATTATTATTGTTTAAATCCACATAACCTCTAACAGGTTATGGGCCCAGAGCTCGCTTTCACTGAGTAGATTAATAAAGTGTTTGTTAAATTATAAAAGGTGTAGTATAGAGAAACGTGTAAGTGATTTTGGAAAATCTAACAAAGAAGACTTGCAGTTTCAATGGCTGAAAACAAAGACAAAGAAGGATCGACAGTGTCGTCGAGTTAGTATCAATTCTTTTAAAGTAAAATGAACAAGAAAATTAATGTATACATTATTAAATGAAAGGCGGTTTGACGAGTGATGACACGGTTTGGAAAATAGTCAACGAGTGTCCAATGTTTAGCTAAAACAAAGAAATCATTGTTCATTTTACTGAATAAGGTTATTTAAAATCTAGGCCTAGTATAAAAATAAAAAAAAATCATGATTAAGTACAAATAAATTAGAAACTAAGCACGATCGTGCGGCGAGGTTTGGCTTGGCGGGAATTTGAGAGTCCATTGTGACGACAATTGACGAGTTGTGCGCATGATCAGACAGTTGAACGGGAAAACGAGTGCTAGACAACGAGCGAAGGAATGTAGATGAAAAAAAAAATAATAATAAACAAACAAATGAAAGACGCATTACTGGCTCTTTGTCTCGAACTACGGGCCAAATTCTCGCTACACTAAATTAAATAAAAGTTGATCAACTATAAAATATATGTTTGCATGTAAACTAACAATTCTTTTCATTCCTACAGCTCTTGAAATAGACACGTTAAATGAAATGCTTGATAACATGACATTTGAAAATGTTATGGTCAAGCTGGAGGGTGTGTTTATGCTTAAAGCAAACCACCCAAATGAGGAAATTGAGTTATCCCTGCATGAAAATTATATTTCACTAAAAACTCAGACGAGTGTTGAGTACAAAGCAGGTGAGCGAAGGGTATTTTATTTTATTTTTGAAATATTTCCAAGAAAATATGTATAGCTATACAAATGAAATTATAATTAAGATGCATCGTAAATTTAATTATTAAAAATCTCGAGTAACTGTGCATATTTAAAGCACGAATAATAAAAGACCTATGAATGTCTGAAGACATTCTAAATAATAATTTTTAAACCATTAAAATCAAATTACTCATGCTTGGTGGTTGAGTGCCGTGCATTTGGCTACTATGTATGAGAGTAGAGTTTGTATATGTGTAACCTTGTGTTCGGGTAAATGTATACTTGCTCGTCTTAGTCTGGAGAAACTTGTGTTCGGTGGATCCAGCTAACGACATGATTTAAAATCCTGCCAAATGTCAGATTTTTATTCTTTCTCAATATATTGCAGCTAAAACATTTGTTACCAAAGAGGAGTTGAAAGCGCTAGAAGTATGGCTGGACAAATGTAAGAAACAGGGCGTGAAAGCTGTGCTGCCGAGTACTGTAAAGAAACAGGAAATAGTTGATCCTGTAGAGGAACAATGGTTGGCTACGAGAATCAGCAACGACAGAACGAATGACGACAGTAGTGGTGACGACGGAAAGAGTGACGAGAGAATCAGTAACGACAGAACGAATGACGACAGTAGTGGTGACGACGGAAAGAGTGACGAGGGAACTAGATATGACGGAACTAGTTATAAGAGGAGTGTCAACACAACGAGAGCTATGATTCATAATGTAGAAGGAGATAATATAACTCAGTTGGCCACTGAGACAAAAGGTAAAGGTCTACCTAAAATAATTGAGACAAAACCGGTAAAAATATCTCTAAAGAAATTTAACGTTCCTAAACTATTGAATAAATCTGACAATAAAAATTGTTTAGATGACACAAATACAGAAACTAAACAAAAGACTGACGAAAAGGCGACTGCCTGGATACCTTGCTTCAATGCCATGGACAATATGCTGTTGCAGCAGTCCAAAATGTTGGCTAGCTTAACTGAAACTATGAAAAGCATGGAGAAAAGGCAATCAGAAATTATGGAAGAGTTATGTCGTAACCGACAAAATATGAGTGATCTGGGTAAACAAGTAGAGAAAATCGAGTGTAATATAAAACAGGTAAAAGAGTGTGAACCTGATGTGAGTTGCATGACCCAGAACAGAAGCTCAGACATCAATCTGGGAGAACCGAGTGGTCACAATTTAAATAGCAATGTAAGACAGAATGACGACAGATACGTTAGAGCTGATGATGTTAAAGATGCAATAAAGTATGAGATAATAAGTAAAGATGTGGGTACGCGCCGTGATTACAAATTAACTAATCAAACGAAATTTGAATACTTTTACGATTATTTTTCTTCAGAATTGAGATCGCTTGAACTATTGTATGTAATTGACACGAGTGAAAAACCGACTAAAAATTATGATGCAAATACTTGACAAAACATAAATTCAAAGTGCGTGATATTCTCATAAATCGTTTAGAGTCATACTATCACACAAAGGTAGCTCATTTAAAAGATCCTGTCGAAATACTAAATAAAATAAAAGAATTAAAACGATATGAGGTGAATTTAACTACTAGTATGATTAGAAGGAATTTTCACACCATGCAGTATTCACCAGATAAAGAGAGTGCTTCTGAGTTTTGTGAAAGGTTTGAAAACTGCATACGCGATTATGGGAATATCTCAGACACTGCGACCTTTTCTGAGGAGGAAAAACGCGACACATTTTATAATGCTATTATGACCACGGTTCCTTCTGTTCAAGCTGTTGAGTTTATAAGAGTGAGTGGGACTGGTAAGGGTTTAGATTATGAGAGTCTGAAAATGTTTTTGATGCAGGCAGAGGCAAATCGAAATCAGACAAAATCAGGAGAGACCAGAGCAGCAATGACAGTTAAGAAAGGTACGAGTGCGAGATGTTATGAGTGCTCTGATTTTGGTCATATCAGTTATGATTGCCCCCGAAAAGGAACAGGTGTTGTGAAATGTTACGAGTGTAATAAGTTCACAAACCATAAGGCTGACGAGTGTCCTCAAAGACAGGAAAGACTAAAGAAGCAAGGATCTACGAGTGGTCGAGTTTATAAAAGAGGTAATGGCAGGTATAATTACAATAAAACTTACAAAAATCTGGACAGATTAACGACAGACGACAGACATTGAAAAGGAGAAATGACGATAATACGAGAGGTTATAATTACAAGAGAGGCAGATTCAATCAAAATAAAGGTCGAGGTGGCTACAAATATGTTAATAAGAACTTCAAACAGCCCAAATCAAATAATGATGGGAATAAGAAATCAGCTGATACTGCAAAGGGTAAGTCATTCTTGGCTGATATTAACTCTAAGTTAAGAAACGATGATATTTTACACGAGTATAATGATGATAGAGAAAGAGTAAATAACGAAGGTAGATTAGTAGCCAAGTTCTTAGCCGACTCAGGTGCGACAGAACATCTCACAAATTCTAGAATAATTTTTAAGACCCTGGACGTAAAAGACTACGGTACAATAAAATGTGCTAATAAAAATCCTTCAGCGGACCTGAGAACGGAGGGAGTAGGCCAGGTTGAAGTAATCCTGGACAATAACAAAGTTATGAAAATTGATAACGTTATATTTGCGGAGGCTCTTTCTGATAATCTTATGTCCCTGAGAAAATTCGCTGAAATGGGATTAGCAATATATTTAGATAAGAAAAGGATAAATATATTTGATCCAGTCTCGAATGAGCTATTCATTACAGGTGTTTATAATAAACCCTATTGGATTATTGAACTGGAAATCAATCGAGATACGGCTGGAAACGAGAGTAATATATGCGAAAGATCTAACAAATATATTTTAGCTGACTTGACGAGTGATTACAAAACAACTGTAAATGAAGCAAGATGTATGTGGCGAAACATTGCGACAGAAGACAAAACGAGTGCTGAGGAAAATTTTATTAACCGAACAGATATGAGCGAAAATGATAATGAGTGTACGAGAGCAAAGAAATCAAAAACAACAGATGAGACGATAGACGGTACAGAAAGAGTGGAAACGATTGAGAGCAGGCAAGAGAAAACGGGTGAAAACAAACGAGTGGAAGCGTGTGAAGAGGTACGAGTGAACGAATGGGGAGAACAAAGTACAGACTGAAGACAGAGAAAGGAAGACCAATAGTAATACTCTGACTGGATACACTGAGTCAAGTATCACTGATGATCAGAATGTAAACATGAAAAATAAAATGTATCAAAACTTTAACTTTGAAACAACCATATGGGATAGGAAAATTAACGATCCAAATGAATTGCCAGTAACAGAAACAACAGATATTGAATCTCCATTAAACGAGTGTAATAATAAAACAAATTATGACAAAGCAATGTTATGGCACGTCAGGCTGGGGCATGCTTCAGTAAATTATTTAAAGGCATTGCAAAGAAAATTACCCGAGAATAAAGAGCTTCAGAAGATCGTGTTCGATCAATCGATCATGGATTGTGAGATCTGTATGGGTTTCTAAAATAAACAAGTTGCCATTTAAAACAGTGCGTAGACGAGCGAATGCTCCACTGGAGATTATACATTCAGATACGATGGGACCAATTAGTCCACCTTCTCATCCTAAAGGATACAAATTTATATCTGTATTCATTGATGACTATTCGCGATTGGCAATGGCATATGCGATGAAAGTTAAGAGTGATACGGGTGCTTGCTTTGAAGCATTTGTGAAGAGTGCGCGAAATCTGCTTGGAAAAGATGCCAAAGTGTGCTATTTACGCTCTGACCAGGGAACTGAATTTAAAGGTGGTTATACGACAGAGGTTTTAAATAAATTAGGTGCAGAGTTACAGGTCTCTAGTCCTGATACCCCTGAACATAACGGTGTTGCAGAGCGGTTTAATCAGACTATACAGAAGAAGGTGCGAGCCTACATGTATGATGCAAAATTACCCGAGAACATGTGGGATTTGGCTTTGAGTGCAGCTGTCTATGCCTATAATAGGACCCCTCATAAAGCAAATGACATGATAACTCCTATGAGTAGATTTGCACCAAATCATAATTTTGATATAAACCAACTTAAACGTTTTGGCTGTATTGCCTACATTAAAGTTCAACGGAAGACTGGACCAAAGTTCCGTTTCGAAGGAAGACGAGTGGTGTTAGTTGGCTATACTCCCACTGGGTACCAATTTTTAAAACCTGAAGAAGGAAAATTTTACGAGAGCAGAGATGTGCGATTTAACGAGAAATTGGTTTATGGCGACAAATACGGTAAAGACAGCATTAGAAACTGGGCCAATTGAAGAGTGGAAACAGAAAAAGACAAATGGTTTGTGGAATTCTCTGAAAATATAAACGAATGTACTGATAAGTTAAAAACGGAGGGAGAGATTCCAATAAAAAGAAAAGAGGAAGACCTAGGAAAAATCCTGTAATAACAGACACGAATGTGACGAGTGATAACATAATAACAAATAATAATGGGCAGAGTGAATTAAGCATGAGTGATAGAGAAATTGAAGGTAAAATTATGTTTACATCTAAACTAAATGACGACTATGATAGAAAATAGAAAACCTAGAAGATGAAATGTATTGTGCAATGCTGGCAAGAATAAAATGAGGATCCTGCTACCTACAGACAAGCCATGTCATCGAGTGAATCTATTTACTGGAAAGAAGCAGTAGATAATGAGTTGAAATCAATGTCGGAAAATAACGTGTGGGAAATCATTGATCGACCAAAACTAACGAGTGATGGTAAACGAGCGAATATAATTGATTCTCGATGGGTATTTAAAAGGAAAGTAAAGGATGATGGTGAAATAAGACACAAGGCAGACTGGTTATACGAGGGTTCAAAGACAGAAACGTCTACGAGCTGAAAGAGACTTATGCTCCGGTGTCCAGACTACCACTAGTTCGAGCTGTGCTGGCCATTATAAATAAATATGATCTGGAAGTTTGTCAGCTAGATGTGCAAACTGCTTTCCTCAATGGACGATGATGAGGAAATTTTCATGGAAATACCTGATGGAATTGAAATAAGTGATACCGACAGACGAGAGAAGTATGCAAACTGAAACGAGCGTTATATGGTTTGAAAATAAGTCCAAAACGTTGGAACAAAGGTTTACAGAAGTAGCTCTAGGTATAGGCCTGATTAATTGCAATGAAGAACCATGTTTGTTTACCTGGCGGAATAATAAGAAGTTTTTGATTTTACTGTTGTACGTTGATGATATTTTAGTTGCAAGTAATGATGAATAAACTGAAAGAAGTGAAAGAACGATTAAAAAGTGAATTTAAAATGACAGATTTAGGTGTACCAAAAGAATTTTTGGGTATTGGTATAACGAGAGATAGGAAAAATAAAATATTGGTCCTGAATCAAAAACGGTACATAGAGAAGATACTGAAGAGATTTAATTTTTCAGAATCACATCCACAGAAAACTCCTATGATTACACACAGGCGGCCAACAGAGAACGAAAGCTTAGAGAAGAGAGTGAGGATCCAGAGCTGCTACGAGTGACAAAAACGAATGAAAATATTTCCGTATAGAGAAGCTGTTGGAAGTCTATTGTATCTGGCTGGTGCAACACGACCAGATATAGCTTATGCAGTCAATGTGCTAAGTAGACATCAAATAAATCCAGTGGATAATGACTGGAAAATGGTGTGAACGAGTGTTTAGATATTTAAAAGGAACGACGGATGTAGGACTGAATTATTTGTCTATCAGGATGATCTAAGAGCGTATTCGGATGCTAGCTTTGCTGATTGCAAAGGCTCCATCACAACGAGTGGATTTTTAATACAACTGTATGGAGATACATAGCCTGGAAGTCTCATAAACAAAATTATGTAGCACTATCGACTTGTCAGGCAGAATACGTTGCGATGAGCGAAGCAAGTCAAGAGTTGATTGCTATGAACAATTCTCTTAAAATAATCTTGGATCAATCATTTACTCCAATGCAACTATGGTGTGACAACAAAGCAGCTGAGGGCGAGTGCACAGACGAGTGGTGGAAATAAGCTGAGACATATGACTGAAGTGAGAGAACACTATGTGAAAGAGTGTGTAGAAAGAAACTTCATTAAAATAGGCTGGATTCCTTCAAGGAATCAATAGCAGATCTATTTACTAAACCTCTTCCCTATGGGACTTTTAAACGACTGACAGAAATTGTGTTGAACAAGACGAGTGACAATACTGAGTGACGAATGTAACGACTGAAACCATTTGAAAATTAATTTGTTTTAATTACAGGTAATGGATCTGATCAATCTAAAGAATGAGAGTTAAACGAGAGGAGAAACAGAAGTTAATGAGACGACCAATTGCCAAAGCAAGGAACCAAAAGACTGAATCTGTTCCTATAACTGGATTTAAGTTGTTATTGTTAAAAAGTTCATATATATTTGTAAACATATCATATTTTGTATTTGAGATTTGAGACTTTGACGCAAATATGTGAAGACGGGAGGGAGTGTTGGAAATCAGCGTCTCCGACATATTTGAGTGTATAGGGCCTGTACGAGTGTTTCGGCCCTAATCGGTTTCCCCCGTAGCCTTTCGGCTAACGTCTCTCGTCGTGCTCTTCACTTGATTCAAGTTGGTCGTCTATTACGGTTCAATAATATATTCATTGATAAATAAAGTT